ACAATTGTACTTCTCAGGATGCGAGCGTCTGAGAAGGGGGTAGTCAAATGATTCCCAGTGATCTCTGACTTCTCCGGCACAAGGACAGATGCATCTCCAGGACCTGTTTTCATTTTTGACTACATTGCTGCGACACGGCCAACATATTAATCCGCTCTGCTGAGCAGCCGGTCGGTTGATCGTCATCACTAGGGGGAAAACGAGGCCGGGCTCCTCGGTGGCCGGGCGTGTGGCCTCTGGCCGATTACATTTCAATCGATGCCCTTCCCGAAGCTGGGCGGGGTGGCGGCGCCTGGACGCGGCGTCCTTTGTAGACACAGCTGGCGCCGGACCCGCCCGCCGCCCTTGGCTCACCTGCACATGATCTCGTGGGTCAGCAGCACGCGACACATCTCCGGGTTCTTGTCCTGGCCCTCATAGACGATGGCCTGCGCGGGGGACAGAAAGAAGCCGGGGTTAGGCAGCGCCCCGGGCATTGCAGGCCTCGCGGGCGGCAGGTGCACGGCCAGCGATGGGAGGCGTCGCGGTCCACCAAGCCTCCTCCCCACTCTCCACTCCAGAAGTGGAGCCAGGCCCCGGCGGCCTCGCTCTGCCCGCCTCCCGACCTCCTTCCTCCGGCTGTGCGCCGGGCCTGCGCCGGGCCTCAGCTCGGGAGGGCCTCCGGGAGGGGAGTGCAGAGACTGCTGAGGCCCCGGAGCAGGAGGCTAGGCGTGCGGGCACGGACCCGGCGCGGGGCCCTTTGGTTGTTCGTGTTGCCGCCGCCGCCAGGCCGCGTCCTTGGGCCATTGTCTGCACTGAGTTTCAATCTGCATGTTGGAAGAAGCCCGTAAGAATCTGCTGCAACTAAAGACGCAGGGCGGTCTACTGGGCTCAGGGGCAGTTCGCCTCGCGCGGAGAGCCGCGCGGGTTCTGCCTTGCGCGCTCCTCGGATTCGGACAAGGCAGGAGCGGTCAGCTCCCGCGCCGCCGCTCTCGGCCCCCGCCGCCCCCGAGACCGCCGGTGGCGGCAGCGGCCTGGGCTGTGCACCCTGGGCGTCTGGCCCCGGGAAGGCAGGACACAGCCGCCGCACGTGGTCGAGCGGTGCTGGGCGTAGCCGGCGCCCCGCAGGAGGGCCCGAGCCCCGGGCGTCCCAGCCTGCGCGGCCACGTGCTCCTCGCCGGTTGATATTTGGAAAGAAAGTGCTAATGGCCAATCTGGTGTTTATTTTGAAACTGCTAACAATGATTTTTCTCGGGTAAAAAGGCAGTGTCTGCGCGCACGCTCGGGTGGGTTTTGAGCAGAGGCTGCGCCAGATGGTGCAAAGCCCTAGGTGCGCTCACGGCGGCGCCCAGCCCGGCTCCGCCGCCGGAACCCTACCCGGCCGCCCGCGCCGCCACCCGCCCGGGCTTCCACCCACCGCCTCCCAGAGAGAAAAGGCCAGTGAAGGAGGGGAGGAGGAGGGAGCTACAAGTTCCGGCAGAAAATTCCACGAAAGGGTTTGGGTTGCCCTCTCTCTGTTCCCTCCCTCCCTCCCCCTGGAAATTATCTGTAAATTACTTCCAACCTCTTCCCGCACTCGGACACTCTCCTCGCTACCAAGCGGACAAAGCCCCTTCTGGAGGTCGCCCAGGGCGACCCTCCTGGGAAGAGGGTGATGCCGGAGCCCCACTCCCCCAGACTCGAGTCGGACCCGCCCGGGACCAAAGAAGTGATGGGTGTCACCGCAGGCCAACGAGCCGCCTGGGGCTGCAGGGCGCAGTAGCCTCGGTGGGCACCAGCACTTCTGTGAGAATGGCTTGTCCTCCGATGGATCCCTGTATTTATATTTGATTTATTTTTTATTTTGTAGCACAAACAGAAATCCATAAACTGTCGGTTCAGCGCCATTGACTCTTTGATCAGTTACTGGGCTATTTCTTTCCTCCCCCCCCCCCCCCATCCCCGTCAGTGAGAGGAGATTAAATGCCTTTATTTTCTGCACTGTTTATACTGCAAAGGTACAAGGCTAAATGAACAATAAAAATGTACTCTAAATGAAGCCTCTCCTCCTCTATGCGACAGCAGAGAAACTTAGCACTGCCTACAGAAACCTTCTAATTAGACTACAGCGATTTCCGAAAACATTCAGCCCTAAATACAAAGGAAATAAAAGCAGCATGCCAAACAGCAGCCGAGTTCCAGGGGCTTCTCTGAATCCAGTGAAATAATCACCGAAGGGCACACCAAGCGTCTTTGTCAGAAAGCTAGGGTTTACCTGTCAGATCTGTTTTACTCTAAGAGAAAACCATACTGCTTTACTACTGCAGACATTAAAATCCTACACCCTAGCTGCCTAGGTAAAGACAAACTTTTAAGGGGGAAAAATGCACAAACTAGTTGCATTAAAAGGGAGGGAGGCGTGTGTCAGACTGCAGGAAGCACCAAGGAGCTCAGTTCTACTTGGCTCACAATTCTTAAAGTTAGCATCAGAAATGAAGAAACCACTTTCACTTCTAAGCATGAAACCCAGCTTGCAAGTATATTTTAATCTTTGCCTAGTGAATTTAATTTATGCATTAGACCTGCCTGCGCAACACTCTATTTTAAGAAAATGGGGGGGAAATATCTTTAAAACAAAACAACATGCCACCCAGCACAAAACCAGCAGCCAGAGACTGCACAATGTCAAAAAGCAATGAAGCGCTTTTCTGCACTTAATCACATTACTGATAGCCAATAGTTATCATCGGAAAAGTTGACCAAGACAGGTTAAATAATTTAATAAGGAACTGCTTGTAATTATGTTATTTACAAGGTATGACAGAGGGTGGGAGAGGGAGCAGAGCAGTGGATGGGTTTGAGTGACCCCTGGAGCTCGGAGTTTGAATTATGGAGATGGGGGGCTGAGAGGTGAAGATGGGCTAGAGGAGAACAAGGTGACTTTTCACCCCAACACATTTAACTTTTAAATCCAAATAAAGGTCTCGTGTTACTAGACCATCACACTGGAAAAGAGAAAAAAAAAATGAACTAATCAAGCCCAACTTGATAGGCTTTGGAAAGGAGTTAGTTGCCTTTGTTAGAAGGGGAAAAAAAATCAATGAAATGATTCCAAGCAGAGACAGAAACATTTAAAAATAAACAAGGGGGGAGATCCTGAATTTTTTCTGTCAAATATTAATTACCATAATAAATTAAGACAGCATTTGATTCCAATCACAAGCCATTTAATAAAGCATATATGTCCTGTTCTAATGACAACATAAACTATTTCACCAATCGCTTCATTTATTCCAATAAATATGGAATTCTCATTAGCTTGTCAGGGAAGCTAAATGAAAAACAAATGCAGGAGATCCACTTGTCAGTCTTCTCTCTCTGAACCCCAGGATAACCCCAGCTCAGCAAGGAAACCAAGTGCAGAGGCATAAACTTTCTCACCTGTTTGGTCATTGAATCTATGAGGCGAACATACAGATCCTGCTCTGTTCTGACTCCTGCAAAAAACAGAGACAAATTCTCAACAGGATTTTAGTGCTGCACCTCGGGGAAGGACAGCCAGGCCACAGGAAGTTGGTGCCTCAGGACTGCTGCTCCTGATGCAGCAAAACTTAAGCAATCCCTTCAAGAGGGAGAAAGAGAACTCTAATCACATTCTAAATAAAGAATTTTTTTCCCCTTTTCTTAATTTAGAGCCGTAGGACTCTTAGGGTTTGCATTTGAAGGGGCAAGAAATTTGCCTAGTGGAGAACAGGCCTACTTGTCCCATCGGTGGGCCCATGTGGTCATTTATTTTTAGAAAAAAGAAAGCACCCAATGGCTACTGAGAGTCTGAACTCTGTCGAATGCCTCTGGATGATTTTTTAAAGCCGTGCGCAGGAAGTAAGTTATGGTCGGTCTATGTAGCTGCCCTATCCCAATAATTAACATTAATTTGCAAAATTGAAAAAAGTCACTTAAAAGTGATGTTCTGCTGGAGCCCATATCGATCCCCTTTTTACTTTCTACTTCAAGCCCCACCGGTTAATCATGTGAAGTGCCATCGACTTATCGATCGTTTATGTTTTGTTTTCCTTCTATGCCATGAGAAGACTTCGTGTTTACATCCATGTCATTTTAATCTCAAAATCTTTATGTCCTGTAACCATCGCGGGAAGGGAGATCCAGCGCGCAGGGGCGGAGAGGGCGGGAAGCAGGCAGCGGGTACTCACCGTTACTGTATAGTAGCTGGAGCTTATAGTGGATACCGTTGTTGGTTTTCTCGTTGTTTGGCTCCTAAAAGCAATGATAAACAATTGCATTTAGTGTGGTGGTGTCAGGCGCCGCCACCGCGCTAGGTCCCCCTCCACGACCAAGGCCCCTCGGCCTCACACATGGCGGGCAGGATTCCTCGCTCGGAGCAGTGCCGTGATGTCACTTTCCTGCTGGAAGCCCTGCGTTCTCCTCGCCCCGAGTGAGTCCGAGGGCGCAGAGAAGTTGCCCGGCCCTCAGTGGGGCCCGGGCGGCTACACGTGGCGCCAGCGGCGGGGTCGCCGGGCGGAGCGGTCCCACCGCCGAGGGGGCACTCCGGGCCGCGCGCGGGCACAGCCTGCCTCCCACTTCTAGAGAGAGGGAGGGTGTGAGCCTATGCGTGCACTTACTTTCTCTTTCTCCACAAAGTCCACAAAAGCGGTTCTTTCAATCTCCACCGGCTGCCCCTGCCTGTCGTAGAGCGCCAGCACGAAGTGGAAGAAATTGGATTTCCGGAGGTTGGAAGGCGGCTGCTTCTCGAAGTGCGCCCGCGCCAGCCCCACGCCGCTGCGGGAGGAAAGAGACAGCGGCCCGGTGAGGAGCGCGGCGCCGGCCGGCTGCGGGGGCCGGGTCGGGCCGGGGCCGGGGCCGGGGCGCGCGGTGGCGGCCGGTACGTACCTCTGGGCTGCCGTGTTGGCGTCCACCACGCCCGCCGTGTGCATCCAGGAGCGCACCGGGTTCATGCCGCTGCCCAGCGGCTCCTCCTTCATGGTCGTCCCCCCGCGCGGAATATTCTCCTGAATCCCAAACATGAAAACTGCTGGCGGCGGCCGCCGCTCCCGGCCGAAAGCGCTTCCGCGGTCGGCGGCGCTCGGGGCGCGGCGGCAGGCGGCTGCCCTGGCCGCCCTCGCCCTGCTCGGCGCCTGCGGTCCGGCCCGCCGCCGGCTTCAGCCCGTCCCGGGCAGCCGCGACATACACCAGCGGCCGGACGCTCCGGACGGCCAGGGACGCGGAGGTGGCTACACCGGCGGCGGAGGCGCGGCGCTTCGGCGGAGCAGGACGCGGTGGCCGCGGCGGCGCTTGTTGTTGTTGTTGTTTGCAGGCGCGCTCAACGTGGTGTCATCCTAGCCAGGCGGCGTCCGCGGCTGCAGGACACTGCGGGATCGCCCGCTTCTGGCGCGGCCCGCCTGCTCCAAAGACAAATAAACGGGGCAGTGAGTGCCGCGGCGCAGTCCCGGGCGCAGGCGGGGCGCGGCGGGGCCTGGAGCGGCGCGCGCAGCGGACGGAGGCGCACAAAACTCAGCCCTCTCTCCCCGAGGAATGGACCCTTTCCCGGGAGCCAAAACTCGAAGCCCCCGGGAGCGGCGCTGTCAGAGGGTGACGTCGGGGGGCGGCGCTTGCGCCATATATGGGAGCGGCCGCCCCTCGCCGCGCCCCTCGCCGCCGCCGCCGCCGCGCTCGCCGACTGACTGCCTGACGGCGCCGCGAGCCGGCCCGAGCCCAGCGAGCCCCGCGAGCCCTGCCGCCGCCGAGCGCCACCGAGCGCCACCGAGTGCCGCCGCTGCCTCCCCCGGCCACGCGCCGCAGCTCCTCGAGCCCAGCTGCAGCCAAGGAAGTTACTACTCGCCCAAATAAATCTTGAAAAGAAACAAACGCAGTCAGCGCCCAATTGCAGCTTAGCCCCCTAGTACCTCCCCGCAAAACCTGCCACACAGTCAAAAACACCCTGGGCCAGAGCGGGGAGGCGCCCCAAGTTGCCCGAATGCATGCAATAAATGCAAGATAGAAGCTCGCCCTGGGGGGTCCCAAAGGGAAAAACGGGAAGAGGCTGGTCGACCGCGGGAGGGTAGTACAGGGGAGGGGCGGACAATCGACTAAGGGGGAGAGTGTGGCCAGAGCCAAGGAAGATAGGCAGCTCAGCCTGATTTCTAAGCAGACCTAAGGCTGCTGCGGGGCCGATCTGTCCCCTTCTGCGCCTCGCGGGCGTCCTATGCTTCCTACCCCGGCAGAGACCCGGGATCCTTGTCGGAGGCAGGTTCCGCCAAATTCTCCCTCTCCCCCAGTGGCTGAGGGAGTCCCCAGTCCTCGGCCTGTCCTTAAGGCGCAGCGAGTGACAAAGAAGGCTCCAAATTCTCTGGGCCGACGGGAAGAGCGCCCGGCCTCTCCGGCGACCCAGAGCTGGTGTCCGCCTAAGCGCCCTGCGCGGTGGCTAGACCTTCCCGCCGCCAGCCACTTTAAAAACAGAGCGGACGCTTCGGGTGCAGAGGCCCTGCCCTCGATGCCGCCGGGCTGGAGTGAATGCGCAGCGCGCGGTTTCCCGACCTGGTTTCCAGGAATCTGTTGGGCAGCCGGTGGGCTCCGCGGCCCAGTTCCTTCGGCCAGGACTCCGCGACCGGGCGCGAGGCCCGCCCAAAGGACGTCTGCGCGACGCGAAATAAATACCCAGGGGACTACCAGGAGCTGTCCCGGGCATTTTCCTGCCAAGAGAAATCAGGCCCTTCTGATTAAAAAAAAAAAAAAAAAAAAAAACTCTCAGGGCACAAGTGGCAAGTGTCGCAGGACAACCTCTTCCCGCCGGGCCTGGGGTAGTACTCCCCTTTTTCGTGAATTGGCAGCGTGTGTACGTTAATATTTTAATTAATCGGGAAAATCGAAGTCCGATTCACGTTATCTGGGGACCCCCATGCGCCTCTTGGAAGGGGTGAGGGAAAAGATGTGCAGGAAAGCAATCTATTTTGCTGGTGTTGGGGGTTAATGACTATTGCCAAAGATAAGTGAATTATCAAAGCTGTTGCGCCAGTCCCATCTCAAAATCCATTACGGGGCCGGCCGTCTAATTAAATACGTAAGTATAATAAAATCATATTTTATGACTATTTGAGGGTAATGAGATTAGTCTTTAGAAGCGATCGCCACATATTAAAGATGCCACTGTCTATAGAATGTTAATAACCTTAAATCAAAGTGTATGGAAACTATTCACAATAAATTAAAAGAAAATTTCTGTATTACTAATAAGTCCAGCGCTTTCTACTCACAGCACACCAGGGTGTAGAAGGGAACACTTTCTCGGTGGAGGGACAAGGTAGGATAAAGTTGGCCATCAGTGGAGGGCGGGGTTGAGAAATGCTTTGTCTCTGCATGTTTAGAAGCTAAGGGGCTCATGCAGGGAGAGCAGTTATTGTCAGAATATGCAAAGTGTCTTTTAGGGAAAGATGAAGTTGGAAATAGGAAACAATGCTTCTTTTGTAGCACACTTCCTAAAATGTCCAGCCTGGACTGGAGGTGCCCCTTCCTCGGTAAGGAAAGTATCATGCTTAAAATCATTTACAGTATCTTTAATTCAGATTACACGCGCCAAGGCGATTTAAATCTGATTACCAAATTAGAAGGTTTAAAAACAAATCCTTCTAAATCTGATACTGTTGACTAAAGAGGAAAAAAAAGTTCTATAAGCCCATCACATAAGGTAACGATCCTGCCCCAGAAAGAAAAGGGGTTTTAAACCTTTTTGACAACAAATGCAGCTGCCCCACTATTTTGGACGATATTAAGCGAAAATGAATGCAAATCTGTGCTCAGCAGCCATCTGGCCCGAAATGGGGGAATCAGCTGCTCTCACAACAGGCTCGGAGGCTGAATCCATTTCAGCTCATTTTCTAGATCATCTGGTCCCGTACCCAAAGCGTGGAGAATACGGTCTTTATCATTCACCAACTTTATCTTTTTTGTCACTCCACTGCTGGCTGCGAGCTGTGGGCACAAGGACTCACCAACCGGGCAGGGTCTCCACCCCGGGCTGCTGCCGAGGTGCCTAGGAGGGCAGCCCCCACCCCCAACACCATCCCCAGGTTTTCGATTTGATGGGGAACAGGCAGAACATCCAGGCCCCAGATGGGGGAGGGGGCTACTGGTCAATTCCTTGGAGTCCTGAGAGATGCTGGGAGCGCGTCCCCGCGCCTGCCGCCTCCCCCGGGAGCCCTACCCCCGTTCCTCGCCCTTTCTATTCAACATGGGGAGCCAAAAAACCCAGAAGGGAGAAGTGCAAGGGGATGCGGCTTGTACTTTGGAAGTTACACAGGCCCTCCGCGGCCAGAGATCTGACCTCCGCGCCCAGAGCGCTCCCAGGGGCCAGACGGGCGTCCAGGGGCCCGGCAGGGCGGAGCCTGACCTTTGCGCGGGACCCTGCGGGTCGCGACAGCGGCGGCGACCGCTCCAGGCCCCGCGCCCAACGCGATTTGCACGGGTGGCCCTCGCGCTGCCGCCGCCGCCGCCTCCTCGGAGGGTGGGAAGTATTCCTTTTGTGCGGATTTACGGGGAGAGGCTTCAATGAGCCCCCTCATATTTGCATTTAAATAGCGGCATCAAGCGCTTCGCGTGCCACACACCAGTGGGCTCCCAGATGTCAAGCCGGAGTCAGTCAGATGGCCAGTGCCCAGCTGTCCTCCCCACGTCGTGCCGGAGCAGGCAGTGACCTTAAAGAGACAGCGCCTGCCGCCCCTGGCGCCCGGCTCCCGGGGTGATGTGCGAGACCCAGGGCGCAAAACTGAGGCAACGCGTGAGCCGTTAACCCCTAGAACCACCCGAAGCCTAGCGGAGCTGTCCGACATCCCAGGACCTGAACCCAGGCCCACCTGGCCTCCCTGCCCAGCCACTCAGAGTCTTGTGTTTCGGCCGCCCCTGCCCACCCGCCAAGGGAAGGCTGTGGGCGCGCGCCGAGGGCATTTCCCACAACACTTCTTCCAGTGCAAGTCCTGGAGAGAGGGAGCCGACCCAACCACCCCCTCCCAGAAACTTCGGCCAAGTTGGGGGTCCCAGGACCCTCCTAGGAGTCGGGTCTGGCTCAGAGTCCAGGGCACTCTGTGAACGCCCCTTCTTGCTTGCCAAGTGCAGGGCGACCGCCAACCTCCCAGCCATCTTTCCAAAGAGTAATAAACTTCATTTCCGGCGTTGAGAAGCCTCAGCCGGAGATTCCTAGAAGCGGAGTCCCCTGGAGTATCAGAGCGTGCGCGGGTTTAGCAGGGCACGGCGCCCTCAGAGAGCCCACGGCCACGGGCCCAATCTGCCTGGCCATGTCGCATGGAGCCTTCGGGCAAGTGAGAGAGTCAATGCGCCGAAGGCCGGAGGTTTGTGCCCCCGAAGTCAGTCCTGAGTTCCAGCAGCGGCCCGCCCCCTTGTCCTCCGAACCAGGAGTCAAGCTCAGAAGGTGCGGGCGCTGGGCCTCACTTCTGCCCTACCCACCCCAAGCCTGGGGGGCCGGCACCCGGAACAGATACTGACTGGGAAAGTAACCTGAAAAAGTAGAGCAGACTAACTCTGGCCTTGAGGGAAGGTGATTTGAGGGGCAGGGAGAGACACACCTAGAAAATTCCGTGAGCTGCAGAACAGGAAGGAACCCATACACACTGGCAAACCCGTTCCCCAAGGGTAGGTGAGGTGGCCCCTGAGTGTTCCCCGGGCTCTACTTTGCCCAACGGGATCACGCTCGTCCGTGGGCCAGGAAAGACAGCAAGCAAGGGCTCAGTACATGGGCCACCCCAACCTGTTAAGCTGAGCGCAAAGGGGAACTGGCCCAGGTTCTGGTGGGTTTCCAGGGCTCAGAGAACCGCATCTCTTCTCTCTCTTCGGAGAAACCGATGCCACGGGCCCTCAGGAGGCACTTAGTGACAGAGCCCAAACCAGGCCATGCGCCCTGCCTGCCCTCGAAGGCAAACAACTGGGCATGTTGTTCTTGGCATGTGGAACGCACAAAACATCCCTTCTTTCAGCGCTAGAAGGTCGGAAGCCTGGTAGAGTTCACCAATAAAAGGCG